AAAAAACAACACCCCCTCCAACACTGACAGGGCAAGCTACTGTATATAAACAGAGGGCAAACCCCACTCCCTTCTAGCACTGAAGATGTTACCTAGGTGGATAATGAAATGCCTTTAAGAAAACAATCAAGCTCAGAGAACCCCAAGAACTCTACATATCAATTTTTTATAATGTAAGTATGAATTGTTTTTCTTTTCTCCCTTTTTCACCTTTATATGTATATATTGAATTTTATTGCACTACTGTATATATAGTTAATGTGAAAGTTTAAATGTATCTATTTAATAAATAAATAAATAAATATAAAATAAAATAAAACTAAAGCTGCCCAAAATTGGGAAGCATCTAAATCTAATAAACAAATAAATAAAGCACAGACTGCAAGTAGCGTTAGTGATATCACTATTAATTTTGTACCCTAAAATACAGGGTGGGGTTAAGTTATTAAAAAATGGTATTAAATATACCCACCAATTTTCATTTGTATCTCAATCTGATATGACATTTGACTATTTCTTCATATTTTTGAAGCCCCCTTGCGAAAATGAGGATATTGAACAATAGCTCATTCTAGTGCCAAAGAAAATACTATGTTGGATTTCTAATTTTCTTGGCTCCCTGGAGAGGGGAAATCCTGCACATAGATTAAACCCTTCAGTTGCAGCATAATATTTTTAAAGAGTGAAATGGAGGCTCAACCCTATATGCAATTATATTGTAAGCTAAATGTTTTTTGTTGTTGTTGCTCATATCAGATGTATTATTTGATTTATTTATAACATTTCTAAAGTTTTATTTTTAACCATCCTAAGTGGTTATTGTTTATTTGGTTTTCACTTCATATACTGGAGGGAAGCAGCTATGATTGCTTATAAATCATGAGTTATAGTATGGTTGAACAACCTGTTGGTCAGGGTTAGAGTCACTTTTTGGAGTGGCTTTTTATGGTTAGTGTGTCACACTTTCCCTCTTTGCAGTCCGGACAGTTAATCCCAGGAACAAGAATCTTAGAGCTCTGATTAATACTGTTAGAAAGAAGGCTAAGGTTACAACACAAGAACTCTGGTGAAGGCTCTCAAACAAAAAACCTACATACAGGTGGTTAGAAGTTAAGAAGTTCATTCCCAGGTGGGCTACAGTAGACAGCAGTGACACTTGTGGAGGGACCAGGAACCTGTTTATTGCAGTAGAGCCCAAATCAGCAAGCAGGCAGATGTGGGTGGCAGCCACATCTGACCAATCCTCACCACTCTCTTTGAGATTTTGAAATCAAAAGTTTAACCTAGTCATTAACCATAAGGGCATAAGGCACTGGCCAATCACATACTCCCCTCTCCTCTTAACGTTTTATGAGCATGGACTTCTCAGCGCAGCTCCCTTCCTCTCGTATCTGTGGCTAGCCACAATGGCTGTAGAGGCAGGGCCTGCAGTAAACCACAACTAAGTCTTAATCTTCCTTTCACACAAATTTTGGGGCATGCTCATTTACCCATGACAGAGCTAGTTCTTCCCTACAAAATGGCCTCACTGCTGCTCATTAAAACCTTTTAGCTTCTTACCAATTCTTATGCGATTTTAGACACTACTGTAAACAAATAAAAGAAAATATTCCAACAAGGCAATCTGAGGCAATCTTGTCTGCTTCCTTGTGCTTTTGTGGTACAAAGAGGAGGGGTTGCCTTTTTTGTGAAGCTGGAACACTATGTATAGTATCTTTCCATTGCTTTGGTAAGATGTCATGCAAGTAGGAAAATGAACTGAGTTGTTATATGCAAATTCCGTGATAGGAAGAAGTTAGGACAGTTGTCTTGCTGGTAGTTAACATAACAATGAAGTTATTCCTCTAGGTAGCCTTTTCTTCTGTCCCCATCCAATTGTAGATGATGTGCCAAGGAAACATGGAGTTTAACATCCAGAAGGTGAAAAAGAGCCCTCTTAAAAAGGGCCATGAATTGATTTTCTGGATCCAAGGTCAAATGGCTAAGCATGGCTCTGTGCTTGACTGACGAACAACCAAATGTAGGCCACATGCTGCCTCCTAGTACTCCATTTGTGACCCCCGAAACAGAAAAAGTTCAAACATTTTAGCCCATCCCATCTATGACACTGTGACACATTGTGATGATGCACCTTAGAGCTCCTGGTAGCGGAGAAAACACAAATCTGGCCCCTGCTTTATGGTTTTGTATTGTGTAAATGTAGTACAGTATGATGTACTATATTCAGTAAACTACAGTTTAGCATGATTCATGAAGTTGTGAAACTTCACGTTCATATACCTAGCCTTTTGCTTCTAACAATATAATTTGAAATGCTGTATTTGTCCTTTCAAGCTGCCTGGGAGGGGCATCGGAGCATAGATTTAATCTGTGACAGAAGCAGGAGTCCCAGAAAGAATTTGCTGATTACTGTTTTTTTTCATTGCAGACTGTCTAATATCACTATTTTACCATTAGTCACCACAGCAACTCTTTGCTTTTCTGGCAGCAGAAATAACTTTACCTCTTTGCAGCATTAAAAAAAAAAAACATTCCATAGGCCAAACATGAAGTAGCAGCAACTAACAACAACACAGTTTCACTGCTCTTCTCCCCCCAACAGAATTAATCTCTGACTTATTTTCAGCTGTAGCAATTTCACTGACAAACAACACTTCATTCAGAAACACAGAGCTTAAATTTTAAATTTATTAAAATATACAAAGACCACAAAAAGATACATTTTTAATTATCAAGAATCCATCTCTTAACTTGCTTTTCCTGAAGAAAGTCAGCAACCAATGTTCAGCAGCCCAATAATGAAGGAATAATAGGTTATTTATCAAAAATATAATTAATAGGGTTATTATTATTCTGATCATATTTGCCATTTTTATCACCAAAAGGAAAGATTCAGATGCTCAGCAGCAAAAAAAATACTGAAAACTCTAAGACTTTCTTGTCATCTAGTGGTTTTGAATTTTTCAGGCCAAGTATGGTAAGTCTACCTTTGCATTCTTCACAGTACCTTATAATTGGCAATTGATATAACAGACTTTCCTTGAATTTAACTATTTGGTATTATACTCTGATTGAAATTCTGTTACCTGTTTTTTCATGACTTCAAAGAACAGCAGCATTATGGAGAGCTTGACAACCATACAGCTCAGCAAAACACTGAAGCATATAAAGCATGTTTAAGAAGCCCATACATCTTTTTTTAAATTGTGAGAGGGTCCAGCCAAATAAAGTAGTAAAGTTTCTTTTCAGTTGCGTGTGATTCTGGGCTCCTATTGGGACACATCTGTGTCACTGTCTCTGCACAGGATGGAAGTGGTAGGCCACTGCTAGTTTCCAGGAAGCTTTTTAGTTTTTTTTTTAACTTCCCAGTCCTTGGAATTTCCTTATGATTTCCCATCAAGATCAACCAAGTTCTGCTTCAACCTTATCTGAAATGTTTTGAGCTTGAAACACTTCCCAAATGGAGTTGCACTGGAACTTTTCTGGGACTTTAGTAGTGTGTTGGGTGAATTCAATCAGTGCTGTTAATATATGGTTCAGTGTGCCCTGAGAGCCAGAAAACTGAATACATACCGGTGAAGTAACCATGGGTGTGTCCCGTAAATGTAGAGCGAGAGGTGATGGGAACATCAGCAAACAAGCCTACGGGGTGTTCGGGAGCGCTGGACTCGGGCCCTTCTTGTCACACCTTTCCGACGCACGTGCGGCCGTCTGAATGCGAGGGAGCCCTTCCCCTCCATCCCCTCCGTCTCGCATCAGCTCTCCTGATGGGGCTGCTTTTCCACGACCTTAGGGGAGCCTGGGCTCAGGCGGGGGCACCCAGCGGGGCGCTGCCTTTGGGCCGCCGCTTTCCGGAGCGGAGCCTGGACGGGGCGGGAGGGCACGACTAGCCGGATCTGCGGTTCCCGGGCGGGGCGCGGCGCGGCGGAGGCCGGCCCCGGGCTGGGGCTGGGGCTGGGCAGGTCCGGCAGCTGAGTACAGGGCCGCCTGGCTAAGCGACGCTGCGGTAAGTCCCGAGTCCGGCTTCGCTCGGCCCTCCCTCCTTGCTTTTCAATAACCGAAATGTGATTCAACGATGTTTTCGCCTGTTTCCGTTGGCCTCTTCCAGTCTTTGTTTCTTCCGTGAGTCTGCAGGGCAGCTGTCGCTCCGTGGCGAGGAGGGGACGCCGAGGTGAGCCAGCAAGGCACGCGGCTGGAGGCTGGATGGGCCCGGGGGCAGTCCCGTGGGGCGCAGGGGGGTCGGCGGGGACTGAAAAAGTAGGGTTGGAGGAGTTGCCCAACTCCCGGGACTCTGTTCAAAGCTTTCCTCAACTCTCTCTCTCTTCCCCCCGCCCCCCGGTCCTCTCGACTCGTTCCTTCGAGGGGAGAAAACTTTTGGTTAAGAAGGGCTGACCTCTTTTAAAAAGTAAAAGAACTGTATTTAATGTAATTGCTTAGCAAAACAAAATGCCTCACGCTGTTGACAGGTGCCATCTTAAAAGATGGCATTCCTCTTTTCCTCCTGCAGGGAAGGAAATGTTTTTTACAGGACGGCCTCTGCTGTGACAGGTGTGTGCCTGCATCACATAAAAGCAGAGGAAGGAAAGCAAACAACTTTTTCAATGGAGATTTGTGTAGAGTTAAATAGATTAATACAGAGACAGTTCTATTGCTAAGATGAGTGCCTTTGAAAGGGAAGAGGCAGCGGGACTCCATTTTGCGATCATTTGGCTCCTCAGGTACCAACATTTGGTAATCTGCCCTGGGAATCATGGAGGAGGGCTGCCCTATTCATATTTCCTGGATTATATTTGCATTTGTTGGAGGAAAACTGGAAGAAAAATAGCTGTGATCATGTTACACCTCCAACACTGAGGCTCATCTCATTTCATGTCACTTTGCAATCTACTTTCCAGTCATCTTGGGCATCCTCTTTTACTGTTCCCTTTGCTGTTTGTTACCTGGCAACATGCCTTTTTCAATATAAATTTATCTTGTAAGCTGAAATGTGTATATATATATATATATATTTTACTGAAAACAGGATTGCAAGGACATTGCACAATTTTCAAAAGCAAGTCTTCTTTCCTTTTATAATGAAGCTTAGAAATTTAGAAATCTGCATAATCATACCTGTTCTGTTTGCAGCGTCTCTGCGTCTTTGCTCTCATAAAAGACAGCGCTTAAAGTAAGTTAGATGTCCTAAAGCCCTAGGCAGGCCAACCACCTCAGAGAATATAGAGAGATTAAAGGGCACAAGTTGCCAATTTTTTTGTTTGGCATTGTTTTTACTCCCTTCTAGATTTTCTTCCTTGGGTCTTGGGTTGTGTTCACCTCTCAGTCTGAAATGCAGGTATCTAATCTTTGGGGGATGGTGTTGTGTTTTTTTTAAATTTCTGATCATAGATGAAAGAAAATGTGGACATAGCAACCATCAGATCTTTTTCAGCATAAGAAATATAGAGCCATTATCCTTTCTCTGTCTTTCATGAGAACTTAACGGTTTTGGAAAGGCTTTAAGAAATGGAAAGCAAGGAATCACTTTTGTTATAAAAACAGTTATTACCTTTCAATTAGTTGTGATAATTTATAATAGCATGTAATCAACCTTAATGCCAGACCACAAAATATCTGTTGAAACAGCAAAGAAGAGTCAAGTGAGCATTCTCCTATGTGGGCTATCTTCATGAGGCTGTTATTGGAACTTGGCTAAACTTTAAGCAAAACATTCTTCTTCATTTGCCTTATATAGTTTATGCCAGGACTGCAGAATTCAGTGCATGTACTTGTATGTGTACAACAACAGAACCTGAAATGGGTGAAATTTGGCTTCTTAGAAATGATTATGATTTCAAATTTCAAAAGCAAGTTTCAGGGTATATGTATATGGAGGAGGGGAACTATTATTATGAAGTCACAGATGGAGGTTCTTAATCTGTATCACCTTTTATATGGTGTCCATAGTAGATGGTAGCAGCCAGCTGACTTTGACTAATCTTTAAAAAGCTATGCAGGATCAGCCCTGGTTAGTTATTGGATGGGAAACTACCAGGAAATCTCAAAGCTGTAGGTAGACTGGGAAGTAAATAATAATTGCCAACCATTTCCACACTGTTGCCTGGAAAACCAGATGAACTCATAGTCTGGAGAAGCTGAATTTGACCCAAAGAAGACCTTATCTTATCTTGTGCTGTGGCTCATACCTCTCGTTCCCTATAAAACAATATTCCCTAAAGCTTCAGATAATTGCATTGAACATCTCTGAACTCTAGCCCTTCTTAAAAATTATAGGTTCACAAAGGTAAGCTATTTAATCACAGTTTATTGAACAAACCACAACTGCCTAGGCTCATACAATGCTAAGTCATATATTTACAAATTAAAGTGGCTCAGCTTAAAACAAGTTTAATGTGATTCTCTAATGCCATCGTTGTCTTTTTGCTTGCAGAATAAAACGTGGATGTTGCTGCTGAGCTTTTCCCATTTATTTATTTATTGGCATTGCTATTGTTATCTAGTGCAAGAATGTGTAATTTGTGGGCAGAAATAAAGCACAGCAGTTTTAGAGTTAAAATGCTTTATCGATGAATTATCTTTTTGTTTTGCAGCTAATTTAATTAGGAGGCCCTTCATATGTTTTTCACTTGTTTCCCAGATGATAGTGTGGAGATTCCTGGTATCCTATTTGTATTAAAGAGGAAATTCAATTCCTCTTTACATTTTTGTAAAACTGTGTCATGGAGTCATAGCCTATCATTCATTTTCCCTCTGAAGAGTAGTTTTTCACCAAAGCTCCATGTTATTATACCTGCGTTGTGATCTGCATTAGTCTTTGGGAGAATTTGTACTTCTTTGATAGATGGTGTTAGAGTCTTAGAGGTCCAAGACATAACTATTCTGGGGTATGACTGATGTCTTGCTGAAAAGAAAAGTGTAGTCTCTCTTTGTTGGATTTTGCCATCTCCAAACAAAGAATTGCAAGAAACTAAACAGCAATTAAATCTATCAGAAACAGAAGAATTACAGAGGAAAATGAAATTTGCCAAACAGAATTTTGAATATGCAAATAAACCAGGAAAATTATTAGTTTGTCAATTTAGAAAAAAAAACAAACACAAATAATATCAGCAATAAAGGGTCCAAATTGTTATACTCAAGATTTTATTATATTGTATTATTATACACTACATATACAATATACACACACAAACACACACAAATAATAAATTAAAAATTAATAATTGTGCTGTCATATAAAAAAAGTCTTCAGTTTCATCAAGTAATGAAAATAAAATGGTTTTCAAGGGGTTGTATGTGACACAATATCCTACAACAGTGTGAACTTCTGCCTTAATGTCCGAAATGGCAGTGTCTGGTGCAGGAATCTCCTGTGTCACAATTGAACCATTTCCCACATACTCAGAATGCTTCCAGGATGGAAAAAAATGTTCTGAATTTGAAACATTTGGACCACAAAACACTTCCCTTACCTCTACTTAAAGCTAGTCTCTGTATGTGTTTAAATCGAACATTTAAGTCCTAAATCTGTAGCCAGTTTCAGGATTGTAACAGAAAAGTTCAGGCTGTGTATTAACATGTAATTAGTTGCAAAATGTTGCTTCAGTTGGAATGAAGCAATTTCGCCATGACTGTCTGTGAACTGGAGATTGTATGTAACTTCTCTGCAACTTGAGTTCCTGCTAGTGATGAGGCCATATTAAAAAAACATGCTTCTAGAAGGGCAGACTTTAGAAAGGATCCAGAAGAAGTGTTTTGAATGCACACCTCTTTGCCATGCATAACAGTAGCCAGATGTTTAGAGGTTTCTATGCTGTTGCTGCTTTAAGAGCTGCGTTAATGGTTAAAGCAATAGCATCTTTTTTGAGCCTTGTGTGGCTGAAAAGGCTCCTTTAATGAATACAGAGATGCAAGGTCCAAAGCAGTCCTTTCTATTTTCAAAACTGGCCCAGTCATACCATGTAGTCATTCTTGGTCTAAGATATTTTATTATCTGCTGAGAGAAAATGTTTTGTTTATTTCCCCATTAACCAACCAGGAAATAAAAATGAACATCTACATTTGGCATGGAATAATACTTCCTTGTACTAGCTAGAACATAAGCAGTAAATATCAAATAGATCGATATTGCAGACAATAATGTAGAAAATGGCTGCATATTCCCTATTCTGCTTCTTTTACAATTTGAGTTTTTCTTCTGTTACAATTTGTCCAGGATATAACTTAGCAAGGGTATAAGAAGAAATGTCTTCCTTCTCATTCCAGGCTTCACACCACTTGCGGTAATTCTGTGAGAGCACTTACATATTTGGTGAAATATAGAGAGGGAAGTACAGAATAAATACTTTTAAAATGCACTGTTTTAAAACAAAAATCTTAAAGTTATCATTGCTTCAACATACATACCTGTTTCTTAGGCCACTGTGATTGTTCAAGAGGGAAACTAATTAATTATTCCAAAACACAGAAAATCTTGGAGGATAATTATATATAAGATGAAACATAGGCGTATAAGATTAACTTCTTGCCCAAAATAATACCGAAGAAATTACTTTTGTTGTTGGGGGCTTTTTTCGGCCCTAGTTTTAATTTCTTTATTTTTAAAAAAATTCTTTAAACCAACTAACAAGAAATTTATGCATATAAGTAATAAGAGTGTGTTGAAACATTTGTATGGCACTTTTATTTCCCAAGTTTCAATAAAATGCCAATAAGAAGACTTGAGATGAGACTTCTGATGAATAGCAGATGTATTTATATAAAATTGTGTATATATAGAATATAAAATTGTGTATCAAAATAATGCCCTTCACATTAAAATAAAAAGCCAAAATGAGATGTAGCCATCCTCTTTGAGACAAGCCACCTATATAAAATTGTGTATATATAGAATATAAAATTGTGTATCAAAATAATGCCCTTCACATTAAAATAAAAAGCCAAAATGAGATGTAGCCATCCTCTTTGAGACAAGCCACCTATATAAAATTGTGTATATATAGAATATAAAATTGTGTATCAAAATAATGCCCTTCACATTAAAATAAAAAGCCAAAATGAGATGTAGCCATCCTCTTTGAGACAAGCCACCTATATAAAATTGTGTATATATAGAATATAAAATTGTGTATCAAAATAATGCCCTTCACATTAAAATAAAAAGCCAAAATGAGATGTAGCCATCCTCTTTGAGACAAGCCACCTCAGCTGCTAGAAGAATCTTTCTTAAGCTGTTCTCTTGTGGATGATACTAGTCCTTACTGAGTGCAATGGGACTTTCTGATTACACTGAGATATAACTGCACTATACGTCACCTTAAGGGACCTCACTAGACTTTGCATGGCATTTTGAGGACTGCATTCGTGAAGTGGGAGGGGCAGTCAGTGGGGGTTACAGGGTGTGGTAAAAGGCATCAAGATGGCAGCCACAATAGTGCTATTGAAGCCCTGTCTGGTTTTTACGTGCAT